CTCGTGTGTCATTTCCTGTTTAGGTCAGTTATGTTTGTGTGGGCAGTCAGTTGCTTCGTCAAGTTCACAGTTCTTTGCCTGAGTTCAGTTTTGTTTCTTTGACCGCTTTTAAGAGCTTAACATTTATTGTTTTTGTAAATGTAACTTTTTGGGTTAAATAAATAAAAAACATCTTTTTCTAATAATTCCTGTGATGACTCCTGTTTTTCAAATTGGTCCATAACAATATATATCTTTAAATTTTGATAAAAATTTTTGTTTTTTTTAATCCAGAAGAGATGAATTAAAAATAGATGGCACTTCAAAATAAATTGTGGATTTGCTTTGATAACACTTATTTTGGCATCTCATTAAATAAAGGTATGTGTCTAGAACAACATTGTTATATTGTAATATCCTGAGCTTGACCAGTGTAGTTTTCTAATAGTTCAACAAGACCACTTCCAGATGAAATTATAAAATCATTGAACATTTTTATTTAGGTTGTTTCTACCTCGACATGGCACTGAATAGTAAAGTTAGAATAGAATAGAATAAAACAGAATAGATCTTTATTGTCACTATTACAATAAGAATGAAACACAGTTCGGCATCTTTACATTGAATGTAGATTTACATTCAGATTCTTTTAGAATAGGCGAAGATGATAAACGCCGTGCAGTTTCCTCTTGTCCTCCACAGTACAGCAGTTAAACCAGTGTGGAGCAGTAGGTCAGAAGGCTCTCGATGGTGGAGTGGTAGAAGTTAATTAGCAGTCTCTGGGGTAATTGGGCCTGACGCAGCTTCCTGAAAAAGTACAGCCTTTGTTTTGCATTTCCTACCTGGTGGAAAATGTTTGTGGACCAGGTAAGGCCGGCCGAGATGTGGACACCGAGGAACTTGGGACTGGGAAAAGTGGACCAGTAAGGATTCTTCATAGATGAGGCTGAGCTAGATACAGAAGATGAAAATGTGGAAGTGTGGCCTCTTTCTCCACTTGTCCAGGAGTACCTAGATGAAGATTTTTGGGAGGGATGTAGAGCTGCCATTTCTCCCGCTTTCTTTGCTCTCACTGCCTCACCAGAACCCTCAGTGTCTCACAGAGCAGAAGAGGCCACTCCCTTGATCTCCACAAAGAGGGACAGGGAAGAAGATCACGTAGAGCAGGTAAGAGACAAAGAGTGAGTTTGGAGCAGCACCCTAAAGATACACCTTTCGACGTTGTCTTTGCTAAGTGCGCACAGTTTCCGTGCTTTTCTTCTCTGGGGTACAGATCACAGGTTTTCCTGGCCACACTGCATATGCGTCCAACTGACAAACATCAAAAACAAAATTCACTCTTTTATGTTTGTTTTTGGCTTCCAGCTCCTGAGGGAAATATTAGACTGTTGTTTCCTGTTAAATTCTCCAGTGTTCACCAGCTAGTCTCTGTCTTGCTAATGTTAGGTTCTGAGTAGGTTATGTACCTTGAGATTTTTGTTTTTAAAGCATCTGTAGCTTTTATCATCTCATGAGTACAACTTTGACACAGAAGCCAACAAGTTCAGTTTCTGAAGCTTCAGTTTCCATTTAGTGGTGTTTATGGAAGCTGCTGTCTGTTGTTGGAAAAAAAACTGTCAAAATTTTGGGTTATTATTTAAAAATTCTGACTTAATAATTTAATTTCCTCTAAGATTTGAGTTACTAAATGGACACTTTGGGATAATCCCTGAATTTTAACCTATGAACAACAAAAAAAAAAGCTATTTAATTTTTTTTTTAAATTTAATTTAATTTTCACTGGAAGAAGCAAGTTTTTATACAAGGTGTTCTCTGTTATATACTGTGATATGAAATTAATTTTGGGGGAATGTATGTTTCATTTTATTGGGTGAGGACATATAAAACACGTGTCTGGTCTCAATGTGTAAAGTGCATGTTCCTGTCAGTAAAATATAATACTCCGTGTAAGTTAAAAGGGAAAACGTTTGGAATCATGATTGTATTTTTAAAAACTACAAAATTACGCAAGGCGCTCTGGTGACGTCATATCAAATGGTCCTTGTAAGGTAAAGCGCGGATTTTGAAAGCAGGAATTTCCCTTTAGTACAGTAGGCAGTTCTTTTCGAAGTTATATTAAATAATTTGACATGGCAGGGTTACACATATAAACTGCGTTTGTGTATTAAGTGTGTTTCTTTGTATTTGTACATGTTTTGGTTTTCGAGGCTAATAGTGACGCCATCAAGCCGCGATGTTTGTAATGTTAGCTAACGTTAACTGCAACTTCACAGGTGAAGAAGCCTCCTGAAAATGCAATAAGTTGTGTATGACGCATTGCTTGTAAGACAAGCCTACTGTTGGGCGAACTCGGATAGTTTTTTTTTCATGTTAAACGCATTTAGTTTAGTTATTGCTAAGACTAGCAAGACAACTTTAGCCAACAAGCTAACATGAGAGAGTGACAGAAAACGGCTAACTACCCGACCAACTAACTGCTTTAATTACACATTTGTGATGGAGGATAACTCGTCTTCTTCTTCAGTGGTGAGTGGTGTCACTCAAGCGTCTTTCCTCCAGAGGACTTTGGAGCGGTTATCATCTACACAGAGCTTGAAACTGAAAACTGAGGAGGCAGCTCCTGTCGCTGTCATCGCACTTCAGAGATACCTGTCCGAGCAAACGAAAGGGCAGCAGCTCGACAGCTACAGCTACGATGTGACAGTCACAGATGGAGTCTGGCGAGCTAAATGCTTCCTTCACCCCAGTTTGAATCATCTGGTGCACAGCAACAGCCTAAAGACCGGGTCTGAAATCAGCATCACGCAGTGCTCCTTTGTTTACAACGAAAGGAGGCTGGGACATGGCTACATCTGCATTGAACAGCTCAGATGTGCTGCAAAAAGATCTGCTGTGCTGGCTCGTGTAAACACTGTCAGTTCACTGCCCATTCTGGTCAAGCAGGGAATGGAGAGGAGCGTGGTCTTGCAAAGTGATGTCCCCCTTCAGGTGAGCCGCAAACATTACCTGTCACTTTGGAACAACGATGACCCAGAGGGCGACATCTGGATATCAGGATCCCCTTCAGCTGATACTGTGCTGGACGGTGAGATACTGCTATCTCAACCCCTCCCTCACTCTCACATTGTGTTGTTTATATCATTATTCTGTCACCTATAATTTATAACACTGCAGTGAACTTTGCTATTTGCAGCCACTTAATTGCCTCATAAATAAGGAGGCAATTAAGTGGCTTAAAGGCAGGATGTGGTGTATGACCAAAAATAATGTCCTCTATTGATTGATAGGTTGGTTTTGATTTATCTCTTAGACCTCAGAAAAAATAAAAGATTATAAATGACCATCACAGGAAAAGGCTTAACATGGGGAAATAACCTAAGGTATTAGATTTTGGAGTTGAGCTCAGGAGGTAGAGCAGGTCATCTACTAATGCTTGATGATGCAGTCCCATTGAGATCAAAGATCTCTTTTAAACGGGAGACTTGACCAACAGGGCAGCAACACAGATACTTAAAAACAGATGTAGATTGCATTAACAAAATTAAAATGTACTCACGTAAAACACTTGCACACAGACAAAGTAAACATACAGAAACATATATATATATTTCTATAAAATTATAGTAAACAAAAGTTTTAGTTACTATTACTTTAGTAAAATTAACCACAATGGGTTTTCTGTAATGTCTTGATTCCAACAGTGTCCAAGGTTACACTTCTTTCTAGCCTGGACTCATCCTTCAAAAACACGTGGAAGCCCCTCCCTCTCCTGGTGAAAATCATACACAAATCCAGGTTAAGGTATTATGGAAAGTTTGGCCTCAAGATTGATTACCCATACCAGGTGTGATGTGAACAAGATCTCAGTTTTTTGTAATATACGTTCATGTTGTGACAGAGCATAGTTTAAATGTTTTCACCTCATATGTCATCATATTTCAGGCATACTTTGAAGTTGCTGACCAGAGTGGCACAATGTCCCTTGTGCTTTGGAACGAACTTTGTCCCGAGTTTTACCAGCGACTGAATGTTGGCACAGTGTTGTACCTTCAAAATTACACTCTGAAACAGAGTTATTCAAACCGGTCACGCCCACAAATGGACCACCATAGAATGAAGACCTTTAACTCTGTCGGTATGTACGTAACTACTGATGATAATCAGTAATTTTTAAAAAATATAGTAGCACTGTTTTCTGTGAAAAAAAATTACCATATACTATCAATACACTATCTTAGAATCTGTATTTTCATATATAAATGATACATTTTCTGTTGGGTTAGGGGTTAGGGTTTGTTTTGGTATTTATTCACCATTTAGTGTTTACATGGTTTATGTAAAGACCTATAAACTGTCGTCTGCATGTGTTTTTTTCCAAGAAATCTGCCTGAACCCTCGCAACCCAGCTTCAGTCATCACCGTGGTCTCACCAAAGAGCATACTTCCTCAGTGGGGACTGCCTGACATTTCCTACCAGTTCACTGCTCGGTAATGAATTAGAACCGTATTAGTTAGTCTACTGCCTTACATGTATCTCTCTGTTATCTGCACCTAAGGCATGGATTCAGTGCTGCAAGTATTGGTTTATGCATTACTGCAAACTACCACATCATTTCTAACTTACAAACATGAATATATTTTGAACATTCCAGTCTAGAGTTTGCTTGATGAAGTCAAGTGTAGAAACATTGCAAATAAATCAGTTATTACAGTGTTTGGGAAATTAGATTTATTACAGTGTGTTTATACGGCGTGCAGGACTCTATTTGCTGTTTGTCCCACGTGTTTGTGTTTCTACAAAATGAAGAAGTTGTTTTGAGTTTCGCCTAAACAGCTGCTGCATGATGTTTTTGATCCTCACAGGTCAGAGTTGGAGAAGCTGGCCAACAATTCAGCATGTGATATAATTGGTTTGGTGACATTTGTTGGCCGTGTTGAAAGAGTGAAGAGTAAAGGGAAAGGTAAGAGATGTTCTTATCTTGTCTGTTGTGTGGAAGTGGTTTTTGATAATTGAAAGAATTTATTTTGGTCGGTGGTGTTCACCTTTTTAGGTCCAGAAAAGTACTGGACATATCGCTGGGTACATGCAGTGGATGGAACATCTGACCATCCTTTTATTCTGGAGCTTTTTTCCACTTCTCAAGCAGAAATCTTCAGTCATATTTGTCCGAGTAAGTCAGCTGTGTCAAGTCTGCTGCCACACTGTAAGCATGCCAGTTTTTTTTAAATATATCCTCTATTCCATAGTGACCTACCTGGTTTGCACTCAGATGAGGGTTTGTCATGTGGAAGGCTCGTTGCCGTACCTCACGAGCAGCTGTGAGACTGAGACGTTCATCACAGGTTAGAACAAGCTGGAACGATAAGTACCTGATAATGTGGCAAATTGATTGTGTGAGTGAACTGTAAATGATGTGTCTAAACAACAGGTTACCATAAAGGTCAGCCGTACGTGAATGACCCCAGAGTGAAGAGCTTCATCCAGTGGACCAAGACTCTGAAGGACAATGTTGTCCTCCAGAAAACAGCTGTTGGTGGCTATTACCGCTACCCTCACCCCCCAGCGATGTTTACACAGTCAATGGCTGATGGTGTGTGTAGTTGCATGTTAGCTTACATTGTTTTTCAGATTATGTGTTACAGCTTTATTTCATAAAATATATCGCCTTACTCGTGTTTACATCTTTGTCCTGCAGCAAAAATGATTTAGTTTTGTTGTCAGCATAGGTTCTGACTTTATTCTTTCCCTTCAGCTCAAGTTCCTCTGGTTGCTGCAGCTGATTTGAAGAGAGAGTTAGAAACCCTGCAGTACAGAGAACACAAGAAACTCGCAATCCAAGGTCAGATCGCAGCAGTGCAGTACATGGAAACTCCAGAGCCACAGGGACTAAAAGACAAAGAGGTGAACGACCTTATTTTAAATCGTCTTCCCAAAAGCAGTTGCCATTAACAATATAAAACAAGTCAGCTGGTTTTCTGCAGGTGCCCAGTGCTTCCACTGATGTGTGTGATCAAACTGTGACGTACCCCAGTCATTCCTCAACAACAAAGCAGACTTTTGTGGAGAGTTTAACGTCTCACTGTACTGACAGCAGCTCTGAGAGCAGAAGGAAAAGAAGAATTCAAATAAGGTAGGATTGACTCCTGACTTTCAAATTTTTGAGCTTGATGCCGAGTCATTATTTAATTTTAACCCACTCATTACATTTGATGTAACATGTTTTCCAGTAAAACCACACAATCCTCCTTGAATTGCGGTAACATTCCAGCTAAAAGGTAACAACAACTCAGCAGGTAACACAACATTTATGTATCAACCAGTCTGAGCTCATTTGTCTTCTGCAGGAACGCTGGACGTAAAAATACAAATGAGGGTGAAGAGCAGGCGGAAGAAGAGAGCAACTCTGCATTTGAGGAAGTTCAACAAGTGGGACTCAGTCTGCAAGCTGAAAATCCAAATCCAGGTGAATTGCTGCACCTTAAAAACTCTGCTTCCTGATATATTGCCATGCTGATACTTTTGTCTCTCACCAGACTCTAACGATTTATCATGGGAAAGCAGCAGCTGGGTGAGGCAACAACAAGAAGTGTCCGAGCATTTGTGTAAAGGCGGTCTGTGGCAGGACAGCATCTGTCGGAGGTTCACGCTTGATGAGAAGAACGTCCTGCTGCAGTGGAGTAACCTTCAGCCAACACGGTGGACACCACTGCGGACTGCTGACGCTCTCTCTCCTGTGCTTTGTCCAGGATACTACCACGTAACAATATTAGGTGAAGTAACCCAGTGGTGACACCCAAAACTTAAAAACATACTTTTTGCTGTTCCTGCCACTTCAGCCTCAGTGGAATATTGTCTTATTTCCTGCATAATACTCTTTTTTTTTTTTTATGTCAGCAAACACTTTTTCTTTCTTAAATTTTCTTACTTTCTTTCTTATTAAGAGTCTCAACCAGACAAAAACCTTCGGTCTTACTCATTTAGTCCTGAATTCAATTCAATTTCAATTCAATTCAATTTTATTTATATAGCGCCAAATCACAACATAAGTCGCCTCAAGGCGCTTCATAGCCAAAGCAAACAGATCTTTATTATATTACATATGCGTCATCAGTGAGTCATTGTGAGCTGGAAACTCACTGTCAGTGGAAACACAATCACACAGTCAGAGGTCTGAGCCACCTTTAGAAAAGACCAGAATGTATATGATCTTGTATTATTAGGTTTGATCTGCTTCTTTTAACATTGCTCCTGTGCCTTCTGGTCTCCTTTAGTTGTACAGTTAAACATCGCTTTTACAATCACAGCATTGTGTGACCCCGCCTACACTGTTAGCTAGGTCTTCCTTCAGTTATGGATGAAAACCAACGTCTAGAAATGGTGTGAAAACAAAAATCCTTAATGATGAGCAGTGCTTTTTTAATATTAGAAGAATGGTGATATATAAACCAATAAGGTAGACCTGCTAGACTTTTTCTTAACAATTAACAGTCAGGTCAGCATATGCGCAAAATAGTGTCTCTAAGCCAAAAGCTCAGGCCTCAGACTCATTTTCAAACAGTTTTTGCCTCTTTTAGCTATATTTAAAGAAAGAGATACATGTAATATATCTCAGAGACACAGCTCAGACTGTGTGAGCTCTGTGAGCACAGGAGCCTTATCCGGATGATCTGATATCCTCGTGTCGGTGTTGTTCCCACATCATCATAATAAATGTTGTTCCAGGGCCAACATTGCGAGTGACCAATCACATTGTTGTGACGTCATACTTTTGCAAGCCAAGCCATTCATTCATTTATGAAATTCCAGTGTTGCAAGGACAATATGTATAATGCTTATTGTTTATTAAAGAGCATTATCCTGAAATGCAAAGAATGCAAATTGCTGGAGCGGCAGACAGAGGCGGTTTCTCGCAAGTGAAGTAGATTTTTTTTAAGGCGTTTTTTTTTCCGAAGTCGCAAAAGTATGACGTCACAACAATGTGATTGGTCACTCGCAATGTTGAACCTGGAACAACATTTATTATGATGATGTGGGGACAACACCGACACGAGGATATCAGATGATCCCACCTGCAGCCCAACCCTTTGTTTGACAAGGGAAGGCAATGAGAGGAAGGTTTACCTAAAGGGAGAGGAAAGAAATCATGGTTTATACTGTGGCTCAACTGAGGGACTGAAGAAGGGGCCAATATTAAAGAAATCAGAATTTCTTTGGACTATGAATCATGCAAAGCTTACCTGGTGGTAGTAGGAGTAAAAAAAACAACAACATACATTTGGAAATGAATTCCCACTTAACTTTTTTTTCTGTTTTTATCTCCCTGGCAGGCATTAATAAGCAGATAGCTGTTGATGCTATGTATATTCCTGTTGTTAGCTCCAGCGAGCCACAGGCTGTGGGCCTTCCTCAGGATCCACATGGCAACACGATGCTGTCCTGCCTTTCATCTGGTTTCCTCTGTCCTCTCAGCAACACTGCCAACAACAGTGAAGAGACTCTTCCCAGGCCAGGTAGTCACTGTGGGGGAGACAACGTCCATTCAGGAAGCATTTGCTGACACATGCATCTTTTACACTTAATATTTAAAATGTGTGTTTTTTGGTTTTTTTTCCTGCAGAGGAAATCTTGGCAACTGCCAGTGAGCTTGAAGACACACATGTCGTGTGCATCCTTGACCTTTGTCACCTGGGTGGAGATAAGGTGGAAGTCATGATCAGCAAGGTGTACAGGTTGACGGAGGTTTCTCTTGACTAGAAGGTACACGAGAGCAAGCGCAGCATGTAAATATCAGCATTAATCATGTAACTTAACAGTTATTTAAAATAGAAGCAATAGAAAGAGATTCCCTGTTATATGTACATTGAATGTTAAATAATTTATAACATTTTTTTTTTAATTACTTGAAGTGTATATTTTTACCATTAAAATGTTTCCACAGGGAACAACTTTGTGGTGTGAAAATGAAAATGTGCCCTTTTTTTTTTTTTGCACCAAGAACTCAAAGCTGATGAGAAATATCCTCCTGATGGATAACATTCTAAGTAAAACTCAGAATAACATGCATATGTTTAAAAATATTTATTTTGAAATATTTCACAATATTCAGGTTGATTTATTTTTTATAAATATTTCAGTATCATTATTAATATCAAGATATTTTCGAATGTAAACTTAATTTTTAAATTTCTTTTAAAACAATGTTAACAGTATCTTTTAAAGCTTATTTTGATGGTAAATACAGAAAGAAAATGAGCCATACAAGTGACTGTGCAACACCAACTCGAACGCAAAATAAGCCTCACCTCCTCTAATAAGACACTTCATCTGTTACAAAATTACTTTAATTTTAAAATCATGTAACATACATATGTAATCTATTAGACATATAAAATAAACAACTATGTAGCCTAAAGTCTTGTTTTTTGTTTTTGCTTTTTTGCATTCTATTATACAATATATTCAATGTTAGTTTCTGCACTGAAACTGCAGAAATGGCTGAATACCAGGTTTATTTTGTTCATGTCCTGGCAAATCTCACACAGAAAACATTGACCTGACTGCCCACTCTCACACTGAGGGTGTCAGTCATTATTTTACAGATCAGAGAAAAAAAAGGAAAATACAAGTTAAATGTGATTAAATTCACATACCTTCAAAAACAGTGACACTCAATGGCAACATCCAGGAGGAAGAAGAGCATTGTGAAAGGTGCAGACATCAAAAGAAAAGGTAACTACTGTTGGGGAAAGTATTAAAACTTGACTAAAAGGAACAACAGTACTGACTGAGTGGATGGATTATTTACAACTTCAACAAAGCAATACACACGTACAAGGAAAAGGAAAAAAAAAAAACACAAAACATCGTCTCACATCCAGAGCAAAACCATCGCGATTGAGCACAGTGGCGTTTCAATGAACAGCAGTTCCCTCAACTACCTCTGCAAGGCAAACAAGACAACAATTTTGTATAAAGACATGGATCGAAATATTTCCTGGATTCTGTAAAATCAACTCAAGGAGAGATTTTACCACCACCGTCTGAAAGTATGGTATTGATAACTATTGAATAATGAAAGAAAACATCTATAGTTGTCTATGGCACCTCTGTACTGCTGAGTAACACCTTTACTGTTTCTTTGCCACACTTGTAGAAGCATAGACATGAATAAATGGAGAATGAAACTTGATTTTACCCATCAGAAGTATTTTGATAATCCTGGAAAATTGCACTTTTTCCCCTTTTATTTTGGCTGAATTACTTGTGAAGTCTGCACAGTTGGAGAGCTTTTTCTGCACCCCACAATAAGGATTCATCTTCTTTATTTAATCTCTTCGTTATTGTAAATGCATGATACTACAGAGCTTCTTTGTTAGGTTAGGCTCTCGTGTTTTACCTCCTGCTTGTGCGGAGCTACCACTCTGCACCACATTCTCATGCAGACAGACTATAAAGTGTGATCACTGCAGTCGTGGTGTATAGTGGACACCCATTAAAGATACTGCTGATATAAACGGTTAAGGGAATGTTAGGGCATTTTCATTAAAAAAATATTTCCATATAAATTACATGGTACAGCGGCTTATTATACACCTCTATATACATCTGTTCTGAAACATTTAAAACTATAAATTAACATTCTTCTCTTCAGTTTGACATTGCACATAGAAAAGTGTAAAACGGCACTGAATGGACATGCTCAAAGTATTCTGACGGATGCTTCTTGTTATCCAACGTGAACAGCACCAGTACAGTAGCTTCAGCTTCGAGGTGTGGAGACCAAGCTGTCGTATCGAGCCGCACGGGCTGCTTTAAATAAAGTGTAGCACAGTGAGAATTTCAGGAAACGCAGAGCTGTACTGGGAACGCACAGCAGTTTGTGTGAGATTGTCATTAACAAGATAAGAGATGAATTAATGTTCTTTATGGAGTTTACGTTTGCAATGTGGTTCTACCGTTAATCTGTCTACACTGACGCACTCCATTCTCCTCATCGTGTCACAATCTGACAACACACCATGCGGATTTGCAGCTTCAGCCGAAGGGCATGTTTACATTTAGCTTTAGATTTGAATTGATGGACACAGGACTGCAGTTGGACACGTCGCTGCAAAAGCACGATAATATAAAAGGTTAGACGTAGGACTGCATAAAAAAGATTGGAACATCCTTTAATGGTGCCAGGACTGCTTTCCAGATCTGCAGACAGTTTCTCATGCACGAATACAATAAAGTGAAATGGGTGGCTTTTTTTTTTTAATGCAATAGAGGCTGCTGTACTTCCATGTCTGCATTTTTCAGATGCTAATAAATTGGGTCACGTGGTCACGGTTGGAGCGTACTTTGTTTTCCAAAGAGACAAAAATGGAATGAAAATGTCTTATGTCTTAAATTAATTTTCCCTGTTTCGAAGATATTTAAACAGCTGTGCAGGTACAGCGTTGTCGTGTTGTACCGTGATATAACAAGTGATGGTTAATAATGGTTAACAATTGCCTTGTCACAGCAGACTAGAGAATCTCACCTGCATGTTTTTTCATATTTATTGTTAAAAGTGAACCATTTTTCTTTTTTTTTTAAAAACCAATATTTACGTTGAAAATTGAAGTTTATTATGTAACCGATAATAATTGTGTAATAACCATGGAACGTGCGCTTCCTAAGACCAGACCGTCATCTGGTGAAAATCCCAAAACTTTGCCACCCTGTATTCAAATCACCAAGCTTACACTCAACTTACACTGCATTGCTTTGTATTGTAAAACCACAGCTGGCCCATACAGATGAATGGAGAACTGTGTGAAACTGTCATAGGGCAAGACACAAGGACCAGTGTTGACCTTTCAATGTCTAAAGCACAAACACAAACAGACAAAACTCAATTCAAACTTATGTGTTTAAAAAAAAAAAATTAAATTCCCGTGTAGTGTTTCAGTTATAAGTGTAATAAATAAAAATGAAATGATTTCATTAGGATTTCAGGAAATGGATAACTTGTGAATGAGACACTATCCTTACAGCCGGGGACCTTAATCTTCCAATATATATTTGTCATATATCCAATACAAATCTAGGCTTTTGTATTTAACTCTGATGCAGCAAAATAATAATCTATAACCTTATGAAAATATAACTTTGTATTCCAAATAGACCTGAGCTGGATTTTTAAAGCCATAATCAGACACAACCATCAAACTGCGCCATGGATGTACCACGGCTGAAGGCACATTATTTAAGCCACCCCCCCCACTCACTCGGTAGGTTGGTTATCAAAAGAGGACTCATCCCGCACTGCTCATCAAAAGCACCGAAAATTTGTAACTTCAAATATCTGCTGTTGTCATTCGTTTTGAGGAAGTGGTGCAATAGCTGCAACGCCCCTTCTTTAGTCCCAGATTGAGGCTTTAAAAATCTAGATAGACCTTTACTAAAAAACTGGAGAATTACTCTCTGAGCGTGGTCCTATAGCATGTGTGACATCTTAGTATTTACCAACCCTGATTTTTGATATGATGGTCATCTTACCACTGCATGTTTCACCGTAAAGCCCCTGTCATGTGACCTACCATGAACATACCTTGTTTTGGGGACAATATGGGAGCCAACTGAAATGTAGAGTTCTCATGCACACAAATCCCATTGTGAGATTTGTCATTTTCACTCGAGTTATGTCGCCAGTGGGAGGGGTGTTGAGAATCTCACCATTAGTTAATGAAATAAACAACTGTTGGGCAAAAATAAATACTCTACTTTTGAGTAGGAGGTGGTACCTAAGTGTGAACAGACACTTAAAGGAAACTTTGTTAGACAAAAATGTTCCACGTGTAAACATGTAAAAAGTTTCTTTTTAAGAGCTTTGATAAACCACTCGTCCCAGCAGTTTCACTGATGGACCCACTGAGTGCGACGTAGCCTGCAGATGAAGGCCCAGCACCTCACACTTCTTCGGGTCCCCGATGTTCAACGTCGGGTCAGTGCAATCTCTGCTTGTGGTTTCTCGCCAGTGACGTAAAAGGCCGGCTTCATCTGGAAAGGGCAGCTTCACATCTAAAGATCACAACAAGCAGTTTTCCCCACTTTTAACCAACTTGTCATCGAGTTTGACTCCCACATGACACAAAGTGCTTCCACCTTCACGGCCTCCTCACAGAGGCAGATCTCAGCACAACGGTCAAGTCCACAACGCTACCGAGTCAGCATGTTTCGATATTCTGAAACGCTGCCAGTCTGGTTTTGGGAATGTTGGTATTGCCTCTGTTGCTGTGGCGCCTGTTGCTGCTGCGCTAGTGGCTGTTGAATGTATCCCACGGTGCTTTGCTGTGGCACATTAGTGGTGTGTAAGAATGCTGGAGTAGATCCACCGTGTACGAGTCCTTGAGTCATCTGCAGACACAACAAGGAATATGAATATAGTACAATAAGCAGACAGAATACTTTTTATCAAGTTTTATTTATAGAATCTAATGTTCGACTGATGTGCAGTGCAAACAGTGTACACATGAGGGCTGTCTCTGAATATCAAGACTTGCTCTGCAGTAGGTAGAGGATTATATAAAATGGGTTTCGGTAGATAGTGGACTCTTTGTTAAGCCAAGTTGTGAGGATAGGTTTCACTGCCCAGTTGACCCTGGACCAAGGAGCTGATTGTGAGCTGACTGTGAGATATTGGAAGAACAGTGGAGAGGCACACCCCTGATGGTCATCAGTGTGACTACCTGTGACATCTTTTGGGAGTAAGAGGTCAGCAGCTATGGTTAAGAATGCCTAATGTGGTCATTTCAAACTTAAGGGGTGTCCACACTGGGAGCAATTTGCTCTTCAGGCATCACTTTGTCACTGACAGTCGGTTGCTACTGTACATTCTAGGTCCCGATTGCCTTGGTAACCCTCTAATGTATTTGG